ATTAAAGGTGATTTGTAAGCTGAGCAGAGATAATTGCAGTAAACATTGTCATCCCAATCATAGGTTTGAGGATAATTGCTACTTCAATCATTGTGTTATCTAGCTCCTAGTTCAGTTTCCTTCGAATTTTTAATTTTAGCATAGTAATCTGGTATTGGTTTATACTTCTTTAACCTATTGAAGTTTTATTTAATGCGCGCTCTTCATTTGTCTAGCTCCTAGAACCAATGCACTTTTTCGTTGATTTTTTGTTCACCACTCCTTGTACTAGTTTTGGTTGAAGATAAAATACCTTTTCATCTGTTAATGAATCAAATCTATAAAACTTCAAAGTGGACCGACACATACGCTTTGATTTGACCCAGCCGTGAGTCACGCAGTCCCATGCCTTCCAAAATGCGTGACCCACCCCGTGGGTTGCGCAGTCTTCAACGGCTTAACCATAGTGAAAATGTTAAAATCAGCTTCACTGTTAATGATCGGGGGCTTTCTCCTTCGTCAAGGCCATTTTAGACCTATCCACTTGAACACCTTCACAAAAACAGAATCGGACAAAAAGGTAGTCCAAACCTTCGATACATTGTTGGTGTCTCTGCTGCATTTTCATTGAATCATATTCTTGTGTAGGTGTTTTTGAGGAGATACGAAGCTTTTCATCTTTCAGGTTGTGAAGAAGATGGAAATGTCGAAACATCACCAGTAAAGCTGATTTTAATATTTTGGCTGTAGTTTTAGAAATGCAAACAAAAAATCGCGTCGTTCTTTGAGTTGGCCTTTATCTCCGTTGATCTCATTGGCGTATCTCTACTTATTTACAAGTTTTGGATGTTTTTGTTAAATGAGTTATGCCTTTATTTCATTTATTGTTCTCACTCTTAAATCTAGGAAAGGCAGTAAAGTCTTCCTGGTCATGAGCGGTCAATATTTCGCCACTTATGTCGAGGATCTGGAGCAGGTAGGTTTTTTTTCTCGAAATTGGCGGACATATAATTGTTTGTTACTGTAAGGATCCCAGCAATTACGCTATCAGCACATTACTGTACCTAAAGCAAGAATTTATCAGTAACTAGCAAGTTGATATATTTTCCAAATGCTTCACTTTTCCAAACTAATCAGAAAATGAACCATGAAGTGGTAAGCACTGCACTGCGGCTAGCAGTCCTCACATGGGAGTTTAGGACCCGTTCGATGCCATTGACTTTGTCGAACGTGTGGCTTGGCGTATGACCGGTGGTGCAGAGACCATTACCGATCCGGTATCACTAAAGAACAAATTTGAGGAAGAAATTGGCAGCTTACAAATGCTCTGTGATCAATTTCAGGTATCCTGCTTTTCATTCGTTACTACTCATTTGTCGACTCGATCTTCGTTCTTGAATTCAATCTAGTATATTTGGCAATGAAGTTCTGCTTCTGTCATCCTTTTTCTGTGACATACAAAACATGAACACTTTCTTGAAACTCAAAAAAGTATTTCTGTTGGTCCAAAAGATCGTGATAAAATGTAGTTTGTCATACAGGAATTTTATCATTCACATCCTCTCAGTCTATTATTTCTTCTTTATTTTTCCTTTCAGAGCAAAATATCGATACTTGAGCACGAGTTAAACAAAGAAAAACGCGAGTACATTAATCAGCTGCAAAAACTTTATGAAAGAAATGCTGAGGCTATCGACAAGGTCAAGGTAAACATTTTTGTACTTGAGTCTAGTTATTGCACTGTTCTGTAGAGTAATTTCAGCAACTGGACGCTACAATGCAATCAGTGTCAACTAAAGTTGTTCATTTGGGCGATCAGTTGGAATCGGTGAGATTTGTCAGCCCTTTTTAGTTGTGTTGCAATGTTTGAAATGTTCAAGCCTCATTTTCCTGCCTTAAATATCAATCTTTTATCTTATAAAAATGTTGAAATAGTACTTGTTGCCATTTTCTTCCTTTCATTTTAAATATTTGTAATTGTTATAAATTTCAATTATATTAAGGTTCATCAACCAAGGCAGCGGGCTCATGATGCGCTGCAATTGATACAGCACTTTGACGAGTTTCTTTCTGATCAGCCATTAAATTCTATGATTTTTACTGATCCAGACAAGGTTTGAGCTCTTTAGTTTTTTTCTGAATATCCATACTGTTTTGCTTTTTTTAGCTTTTGGAATCAGCTGATCTTGTTCAAAAGCTGTATTCAATTTCACAAGAATTATCGAAAGAAAAATTTGCAGCTGTACAAGCGCGGATAGCACATAGGTGATTTGAGTGTAAAGCTGATCTATCAGAATATTAACATATAAATTTGAAGATATGAAGAGGTGGAGAGGTTACT